ATCCTTTGAAGAAAATAATATATCCCTGGAAAAACAAAAAAAGAAAAAAACCCAATTTTCTTATTTTTCTGTACCTCTTTCTGGATTTTTTCACATGAGAAGCCTCATAGTCCCTGTTGACACATGTTTTCCATTATGAAGGATGATTTTCTTAATACTGAGCAGCATTGTAAGTCAGGAAGTTAGAAAATACAAATATCCAAAGAGAGTTGAAATCTTCTATGAACTGGCAATGTCTTGAAAGCCAATGCAAAATTAATGGGCAGCCTTAAGAGAGCGCATAATAACACACTGCCACAATTCGGCCTTAGGGTTCAGGCATGTATTGTGATTGCTCACTGCTACACATAAAACAGTTGCAGCTTATAGGTTAAAAGACAGGGTCAGAGATGCAACTAATTACACATGATTACGGGACATTGAGTGCTTATGCCTTATTAGATGTGGCTAGTAGTTTATAGTAGTAGTAGGTATAGGTTGCAATTGTTTTCCAGGCAGGTATAAATTTGGTAATATCACTCAGGTTTTTTAGTTTACAGCACAGCACAAACAATGTATTTGCAGGGTTTCTGATTGTGAGATGCTTGTCTTCAGAAATGGACTGACACTGTCAGACATGCCTTTATGCACATCACTGCTCTGAGCTCACGTGGCACCAAGTTGTTGCCATTAAAAAAAGGCTTGTTGCATTCGGATATGTGGGTCTTTGTACTTGTAAAATACACTGACCATTAAATAAGCTCAGAGTACAGAAACATAAGTAGCGGACAGGACCGGATTAACATAGGGGCCACTGGAGCACCAGCTCCAGGCCCGCCACTGAAAATAGGTCCAGCCAGCCCGTATACCTGATACCTGATTACGGATGCGTAATTAAGTTATGTATTTTTTCACTTATCTGTTAACAGAGGTTTATTATATCATGTTTTTATTGATCACGATTCACATCTGTTACGATTTTAAGTTTGACACATGTTGTCTGGGCATGAGATAGCCCTGAATTATAGAGTGATTTAGACACATTGAGGTTGACCATTTGCTCACAACCAACCACGGTTGGATAATTAGTAGTTAAATATTAGACACATACACGGATTTAGGCCATCACGTAGTTTATTTCACACACTGGTTGCTTATATGATTAGCGCTGCACATCTGGTAAAATGCCGGACTAAACACGATCAGACAGAGGCACCAGTTTTCTTACATTTTTCTGGACCTCATAAGAATGCTGGAACCAGAAGCGACACAGTTGAGGCGTTGGTGGCATGCTAGGCTCAACGTGCATGTGCATTCGGATGATGCGGTAGCAAGGAAGTGCTGCGGTTGAGAAATTTGATGGGTTGAGAAAAATTATAGCACAAGGGCACATGTGTGCAGCTGAGACCGTGTCACTGGAAGTGATGCGGTCCAGCATTTTTATGAGGTCTCTTTTATCAGGCATAATAGGCGGCTGCTCGTTGGGGTGAGTGAGCATCCACCTAATTAGAGAGCCACTTCTGCTGCTTCCCGTCCAACCAACAAACAGCACGAGGTCCACGATGCTCTTAATCCGGACCTGGTAGCAGATACCGTACAAGACATTTATCAAGCAAATTAGTGACAAAATTAGACACACAGCTATTGCAAATTGAGCTGCTTCTCATTTAGAAAAATCTATGTGTATTTGTGGTTCCTGCTCCTGCAATCCTGGGCGGCCCACTGAGACAGTTTGGCAAAGGTCCGTGACAGATTAGCTGTGAATGAGACAGATTTTCACTTGTTCACACGTGCTCCTGAGAGGGAAGTATAAACAGGCAGAAGATTTGTGTTTTTACCTGACCGCCCACCTAAAAGCTGTAGCGACGGTACATGCTTGTACACATGCCATGGCTGCAATGCTTTGTGTCGAAGCCATGGCAAATTTTAAACAGCATATTGTGTTTGGCAGGTGGTGCCACTAGCTCAACATCACCGTGGCAATTAATGTGGCCGTGCTGCAACCAGGTGCCCACATGGTGCTGCAATAAAAAAAAATCCCATTGGGATAAATAAAGGAGAAATAAAAAATGGTATTTAGGAGGTGGCAGTATCTACCACGGATAGCTTTTCCGAGGGTGAGGTGGAGCCTGCTGCCTGTTTGAATAAGGCTTTAAAACACATGCACAATTAAGACATGGTTTTATGAGCTCTGTGATCAAGCCATAATCGTGAGACGCATGAGAGCGTAGAGTTCAGTGTCAGTGTACAGCCTATTTATGCTCAAGGATTTAAAAGCACGTCTCCCCCTTTTTTACACTTGGATTTAGTGCCTGTCAGGCTGTGGCATGCCATTGGAGCTGGCACCTGACAAAAACTGATGAGATCCTCGGATTTTGGAGGTGGATGTGAGCTGTGTATTTGTTTTTTGTGATCAAAAGGATTTATATTGTTGAAGTGCTACTTTAGGGCAGCAGAGGGAGGAATTTAAAAATGACGCTGCAGTCATAGGGCTCGTTCACACTATAACGTGCATAATAAAGTGTGCCATGATGCACTAAAATGCATGTTACTGCAATGCATAGCAACGCACTGTAGGTAGGTATTGCTATTCAAAGTTAATTCCACTCCAGCACACATCCAGAGAGGAGTGAACTGGTCTGGGTTCACTTGGTCTTTAACCAAACCCAGCCAGAAATTCAGTTCGGCAATTGTCCAAGCAAACCAAACCCAGGGCCACCCGTGTCTTACCAACCAATGGCCTGCAGAGAGTAATTGGTTGCTAGGACTCTATGTGCTGGGCTGTACAGCAACATTGGTTGCTAAAATGCAGGTGGGTGCATTATAAAAACCTATAACCCTGAGGGGCCACCAATGCCTTAGCAAACAACGACACAATGTTGCCTGCACAGCTACAGCCAGCAGCCTGGCTGTCCGAGTCAGATGCCATAGCGACCCAGGCGGCCTGGCCGGGCCCCGACGTGCCCCGGGCCCCATAGCGGCCGCCTGGGTCGCTATGGTGATTGTTACGCCACTGTGCACAGCTTTATTGGTTGCTAAGATGTTGGTGGCCTCACAGTTTCATAGGCAACCAATGATACTCTGCACCCCACATCTAAGCAACTAATGGCACTGTGATGTCTTCACAGCGTTATTAGTTGCTAAGATGCTGTGGCTCCACAGTGTCATAGGTTGTTATGGTGCACCCGTCTGGGCAGGCAAATTGACCAAATTGTTGAACTGCAAACAGCTTGGATTAGAGCCCAACATATGGTCAACCCAAAATCCAATACCTAATTAAGAGTATGCTGCAACAAAACTGAAAAACAAAATATGCAAAACCTATTTATTCATGCGTTGAGATATATTATTAGGCCATTTAAAATGAATGGACCATCCAATGCAGGGGTCTTAAAGTACCGGCCCGCGGGCCAATTGCTGCCCACAAACCGGTACTATGTGGCCCGCAGCCAGCTGACAAGTCAAGTACCTGACTTGCGGGAGCAGCTACACGGTCTGTATCACTGTTGGATGCAGATTGCATAGCTGCTTCTCTATGCCGGCACTCAGGACCTTTCGACCAGCGCTCTGAAATCCTTCAGCGAACACTGGCCCAAAGGATGAATTAGTAAGGTCTGCAGCATACATTACTAATTCCCACTAGATCACCAGTGATCATGCCTCTAAGCCTCCTCCCTGCAAAAAGGTAGTAATTTGTTCACGTGTATGGGTGGAGGTGTATTATTTCATATGTGCAGGGCTAATATTTTTTTATGTGTAGGGGGGAGGGGAGAATATTATTTTATATGTGCAGGGGTAGTATTTTTTTTATGTGTTGGGGGTGGGGGGGGGGGGGTTAGTGTATTAGGCTCCATTCATACTTGTAAGTTTAGGGGCAATTAGGAATTTCTGTTTCAGGAATTTGCATTTTCCTGCAGCAGGAATGCCTAATCAGGCTGTCACCCATTCAAGTTAATGATCAGGTGACAGCAGCTGCATGCAAACGCCTGCAAACCGCATGTAATGGTGTGTGATATGATTACATTGGGTTAGAAATCAATCACTCACCCTGGACGCATCAATAGTGCATCCACGGAGAGTGTTTTCTAACCGAATGTAATCATATCACATATAATTACATGCGCTGTGCAGGCGTTTACAGGCAGCTGCTGTCATCTGATCATTAACTTGAATGGGTGACAGCTGTCACTTGTAAACGCCAGATTAGGCATTCCTGCTGCAGGAAAACGCAAGTTCCTGACACAGGAATCCCAAATTGCACCGAACCTTACAGATATGAATAGGGCCTTATTGTGCGTGTATTTTGAAGTATGACATTTGGCAAGGGGTCCCCATGGGAGAAAATAAATTGTCAAGTGGCCCCAGAGTCAATTGAGTTTGAGACCCCTGGTCTAATGTAACGTATCTCAATTCAGCACACTACATTATGGTGTGAATGAGCCCTTGTATTAAATCATACTATTTATGTTTAGTGTTGCGTTGCTGTGTGACAGAATTAAGAAAAGCCCCCTGTGTATAGTAAATAGAATCACACAGTTATAAAAATTGTGCAAACTTTTTCTGCACTTTATGGTTTTTGGGGTTTTCTGAACTGCAGGTATTTTTGTAACACATAATATTTATAAAGTAGAGTTGCATGTTTTATGATTTTGGAGGATAAATAATAAGTAAATATTGTGGTTTAAGTATGCACAGACTTTGCCAGCTTTTGAGCTTGTTTTATTTCTTTATTTCCCTTCCTGTTACAAATATTTTTCTGTGTGTACTCTTGTTTGTATTTGCTATCTTCTTTTAAATCTTAAAAAAATAAATTAATTGGTAAGAAAGTAAAATAGCTGGAAGTGACTCAGTACACTGAATGGTTGCAGATTAGCATTGTAGGAGTATTGTCTGTGAAAGAGCAGGCTCCAGTTACCATGTGGGAAGGCATAAATAGGGCTGGCTCAGAGCAGTTGGAAAGCAGAGCATGACATAGTCACACCTGTTGTGAATGAGGGAGAGATAGAAAATGCTTGGAGTGAGATGTATCGGAACATCATTCATGTAGACGTTTCCCTGTGGTAAGGATAGCTGAAGAAATACTTGCATTGCAAGACTGATGAGAAGAAAAAAGTGGATTTGCCTGCCAAGTCATTGAAGGTATCAGGACTGGCTTCTGGACCTGTATCATGCCTCCACAAGTGATGCTGGATTGTTCTGATGGTAAAAGGTTAAGTCCACAGTTATCCGGTTCCTTGAGGAGGAGAAATTCATCCAGGCCCAACAGCCAGGAACTTGGAATCAAATGTGTGCTTGTGGGAGATGGTGCAGTAGGCAAGACCAGCCTGGTGGTCAGCTACACTGTAAATGGCTATCCAACTGAGTACCAACCAACTGCTCTAGATACATATTCAGGTAAGTTAAGTTAATTTAAGTTAAAATATCTTAAGATATTATATGTGGTTTCAATCATGAGTACAGATTTTATTTTTGTGCCCAATTTCTGCATGACTGGAACTTCTTATAGACCATCCAGCAATATAAATGGCAATTTTTTGGCTGAACACACCAGCAGTTTGATGTTAAAGGGTCCTACGAAAAAAAAAATCAGCTGTACTTGAATGCAGTTACTGTAGGCAATTGTGATAGCACAGCAAAAAAGACTTTGTGGGGCCAACTTCTTTGTAATTTCACTGTTAACTAAGGCTGGGTTCACACCTAGGTGTATCGAATATGGGCGTTTGTCACACATTTCGTGTTGCGCGATTCGCGGTTAAATACCGTGCGACAAACGCGCGTTTCCGAGGGCTAATTGGCTGTATCCCAATGGAAACGCGCAACAAAAACGCCCCAAAGAAGCTCCTGTACTTCTTTGGGCGTAGGGCGTTTTGTAGCGCGTTCATACGGCCTGTAATACGCCCAGGTTTGAACCATACCCATAGGAAATAATGGGATTTCGGTGTTTGAGCGTTTTGCAGAGCGTAGGAATGTGCTACAAAATGCCCAGGTGTGAACCGGGCCTTAAACTAGAACAATGCAATCTATACAGAATGCATATGAGTTTAAATACATAGGTGCCACTCTCTTGTACATTTTCCTGTAACGTCTTCCACTTGAAGGGTGAATATTTTTGCAGAATGTGTTAAATATTCACTCCTTTACCTTCAAAGTATAGGAGCCTCTATCTTTTAATTGGGGAGGGGTGACAAAATGTGCTGTTGTCATGCAGAGTTTGTGACAGGGGTGACACTTTCTAAACACAATCTCCCACTCCTTCCTGTCCTGGACAATTGTCTTCATGTGTACTTATCTCACCAGGTCTTGTCCCCTGCTAGGATGTCACAGTTCACACCATGCAATCATCTTTGGTGCTACAAAGGAGCTGTAATATAATATCCTATTAAATGGTCCACCCAAAAACTAATCGTAATGAGTAGTCTCTGGTGGATTGTTTTCACCCCAGGACTTCTATCTCCTGGGGATTCTGTTTTTCAGATCTCTGCAGGGGGTTCCAGCATCCCCCTTAGCCACAGAAACTCTCCTGTCACATTTTCTGTTGTGGCCAGGGAAGGCTTGCTTTTTCTGCTGTATTTTACATATTACTCAAGTTGAGTGAGACCCTCCTCATAGAGCAGACATAAGAGATCTCGCCACCTTTGCTCCAAGAGATCAAACAAAATATGCCGTGGGTTATTTAATTGACCCGCATCTACCCAAAATTGAAATATTTTAAGTCACCTGGCCCTTAGTCTTCACTTTCTTCTCTATGTTGCTCATCACAAGGTCTGTAATCATTGTGTTGCAATGTAATACAACATTACAACAAATATTTGTCCTAGTATTCAGTGTGCAAAATAACTGTGAATGTTGAACAAACAGGAGCACAGAAAACCCCTGACTCGGCACTTAGATCTAGACAATATTATCTGGTTCTGATAACCTCTGACCCTGCTCAGCATCAGTATTTACATTTTAGTTTTATTATTGCATCCTAGTGTGCCAGCAGGCAAGATCTATATTATGGCAGAATGCATACTTTTAGACAGAAAATTGGAACCAGATATTGCTCCTGCACCCTTGGCTAGCTGATTTTACCAGTCATCCTCCAGGTTGGATTGTTTCGACAGCGGACTGTTGGTCTTTTGAAATGCAATGAATATGAATTGGGGATGGGGGGGTAGTGATCATCGCACATGGACGTGTTCATATTTCTCAGTTTAGAGGGGTAAATCTGTCCGCAGGCAGATCATTTGGAACTGATTAGAGTGTAACTAGAAAGTGCTGGGCCATAGCAAAAAAATTATAGGGCCATTCACCCAAAAAGGCAGATCAGTGTGCTGGAAAGTAGTCCATGCTGTTCTGTCTGAGCCTGTGATTTAAATACTTATTAAAAATGAGGAGAAAAGGAGGAAGGATATAGATTAACACAGAGTTAATTTTTTGTATTCACTCACAATACCCCTTCTCTGGGACCCCATAACAGCTGTGTGTGCTGCTACACTAGTAGTTATGCCACATGCTATGTCTGTGGCCATGGAGTTGAAGTAAAAAACAGTTGGTGCTGATTAATGAAAACTAGGGGGAGAGGGCACAAAATTGGGATTGTTGCTCATAGCAACCAATCAAAATTCCTGTTTAATTTATCCATAAAATAAAGGATTAAATCTAAATGGTAGCTCTTGGGGAAAAAAAGTTCAATTTCCCCCATAATCGCTATACAGCCGGTATGCCGCTGTCAGTATATGAAAACATTGGCTGCAGCTGATTAGCTGCAATCACTGGTCGACCAATAATTTTTGGCCTGGCTCCTTCCTCTGCTTTTATTGCACAGGGATGTACCGAGTCCACATGCTGCTTGAAGTCATTAGGCCTCAATCCAAAATTCAAGCAGTGCATGGCCAACTTTAGTTTTCTGCTCTCAAATCCCGGCTCTAAAAGGAATTCTAGAAATTTCCTCTGACTTGCTGTTGAGTCTACATCAGGAAGTGAGGAAGTGAAGGCTTTAAAATGGCCACA